AAACAAGGCTAGTGTGGAATGATGCAGGTTGCAGGCATCACCTAAGTGCACATACAGGCATCAGGTCTGGGGGAATTAATAAAATCTTTTGTTAGAAGAGACAGCTACCAATTAGGATTTTTTTCCCCACATTTTAGTAAACCACCCTTTATGTACATGCTACACCAGTGCATGTTTTTTGCATGTAAAAAAATAAAATGAAGTGGAGGTGAGGGGAGCAGTGCAGCACCAATACCTCTGGTGACCCTGTGATGAGCTAATGCTGTGTGTTCTTATCAGCAACTGTTGCCTTGCATCACATGTAATTATAAATGGCCATGAGCAGCGCATGAGGAGCCAATCAGATTTGAGCTAGCATGTCAACCCAAGACCAACTATCTCCTGGCTTTGACAGTAGGATTTTACCTCCACAATTCAAATCCCAGTGCAAACTGCAATCCTGCAGGCTGCACTCAGCCCCTCATAAAGCACAGCTCGCTGTTTACAGGCAGCATGCATGGGGAGCCCGGCGAGCTTTTCACTACGCGGAAACTCGTTTAATCGACGTGGAATCGAAAACACGCGAATTCACACCCTTTCTTTTACGTTTCACAAGACATTTGGGCGATTTAAACGGGACCAACACGAGCCTTTTAACTGACCGTTGGAGACTCGCTCGGCACGCAGCGCATTCCTTCCGTCATGGCCACAAAATTACACATTATCGGGCGAGAAAACAGCGCAAACATGCGAGTTTCGGCAGCCAAACACGACGTAAAATGCACCGAGAACACGTTGTCCTTTCTCTAGCCGCCTAGCACGGCTGTATTTATGTCGAAACACGGCAAATATTCGGCGTGTGAAACGAGTTGAAGCAAAGCGAGCGGAGGAAAAAACTAGCCGAGCACTCTTGAGCGAGTATTTTCGCCCCTTTTCAAAGTCGGGCCTTCTTGACTCCCTGAACGTCCTTCGAGCATTTCGACAACTTATATCTGCTTCGAGGGAGCCTCTTCTACCGCTACATGTCGACAGAGATGTGCTGAAGGCAACACTTATTTAATGGTGTGGTGTAAAGGGGAAAAAAACACACACGAGAGGCAGCCATTTTAGAGTCTTTGCGAACTAGTACCAGACAATGGCTGGCCTGCTACGTTGTGAACTAGCTAGGAGGAGGGAAGGAGACGTGCTAAAGCCCACATCTTGTCCCTGTAATAACGTGCTTTTACCTGGTTTCTAACTAGCGGCTGCCCGGCGCTTCCCGGGCTCATAGGCGACGGGTGATGGCTTCTTTGTGGCCAGCCCGGGTTGCTCCCTCCGTACTGACCGCTGCTGCCCATGTCTGCTGGTCCCTTACTAGCTCCTTCTTGGCTACTGTAGTCGCTAGCCGGGTAGTTCGGGTATCCCCGCGTTGAGCTGGGGGACGTCAGGAGCTTGTTGAGGGTCGGCGTGGATGTGGGCTGGGGGTTTCCGATGTTATATCTCTGGTTACTGTAAGATCCAGCCATCGCCGTGGGTCCTCCCGCTGGTGGCTGCTGCTTAGCTGGCTGCCCCCCAGCTGTCGGCGCCTGGGCACTGCGAGGGGAGTTCATGGCGTACGCTTGGCCGGGATAGGGAGTCCTGTTCGGGAACGGGTTGTAATTGTTAAACTGGTGGTTGGAAAAGCCATGGTCGTGCGAATTGGGTTGATACGGGTCCATCATGTTGCTCGACTGCACGACCGGACCCGCAGCAGCTGCCATGCCAGGGCTTTGTTGTCCGCCATGTTGATGAAAAGGGGCCCGACCGTAGTGCTGACTGTATCCGTACGAAGGTGGAGGAAAAGCGGGGCCGTGGTGATGCACCAAACCGGGGTGGTTATTTCCCTCCGGTCCGACAGAGTCATTCTGGGTATTATTGTTAGCCCTGGGCGGGTTCCCATTCCCGTTCTTCATCTCAGGTTCCCCTCCTCCCCCTGCATTTCCACCGTCGGCCCCGTCCTGCAGATCCCCCCGGCCCGGCGATCCGCTGTCCAAGCCCGGCTGCTTTTTGTCCGACTGCTTCTCTCCCGGAGCCGAGTCTTCCTTGGGGTCTCGATCCGGCTTTTTGAGTTCGGAAGGCGGGCTAGTGTTAAGAGTGGCGGCGCTGGCGACCTGAGCGGCCATGATATACCCCCCCACCTCTCTCTCCCTCTCTCGGCGAGTCAGTCACAATCAAAAGCTAGCATTGAATATAAATAATTGTTTAGAACCATTTATCCTTGTGCCGATTCATTCCCACCCCTCACACCGGACCGAATCCGGCCGCCATCCCCGCGGCTCCAGCTCCGCCAAAAACGGGTTAGAGAGATGATGGAGGCTCCATACAATGCGTAAAAAAAAGCGACAGAAATTGTTGTGGGAGTTGTGTTACTGAGCCCGGGTAGAGGCAGGGAGCGAACCCAACCAACACGAGGCTCCGCTAGATACAGCCATTTTACTGAGCCGCACGGAGGGCTGCAAAACACGGGCTGGAGCTGCGGCGATGCGGAGCGGACTTTTCTTGGTGCCTTTTTTTCTCTCAAACCTCACGTTGTCTTTTTTTTTTTTTTTTACCCCCCTCTCCCCTATAGGTGGAATAATTTCTGCACACGATGAGAGTCTTGATGAACTCATAGACAATGCACTTTAATTTAAGCGCCAATATGAGGGGGAGGAAAAAAAAGTGCATGTTGAATTTCATGCGTGATCACAACATGTGGAGGGGGGTTGATTAATTCATGTGTTTTATTACATGCATGTGTGTTTGCATAAGGCTGTGCATACTGCAATGTACATTTTTTGCATGAAACAGATTCAAGGAGCTGTTATTCAGACATGCAAAGAGTTTGCAATTTATGCACAAAATGAATGCTGATGATACTGAGCTCGTACATGCGCCTTTGTGCACTTCCCCACCAGTGTTTCTGAGGGGTATTTAGGCAACACAGGTTTTTCCAGAGCAGAAGGAGGAAGCCTTGCAGCAAACGAGACTACCAATGCACATTCCCTCTTATTCCCTCCCCTGCCTTGCCTGCCTTGCCTGCCTGCCTGCTCGGCTCTCTTCTACCACCCCCTCTCCTCTCTGTCTGTCTCTCACTCCAGCAGAAACACTCTCTGCTGAGTGTGGGGGGATGGGCGCACAGGCTCTCTCTCACCCTACTAACATTGAACTACACCATACAGAAAGAGGAGAGAGGGGGGCACAAAAAAAACCTTATCTACCAAAGAGAGAGAGAGAGAGGGTGAGGATGCATGGACAGTTTCAAAGTCTCCCAACAATTAGGAAAAATGGAGCATTTATCTTTCCCTTCAGTCAAATGAAGCAGACATTTTTTTTTTTTTTTTTTGGCGTCCCCAAAACGCACAGGGTGTGCGCGCACAGCATTGAGGGGTGGGATGTAAATGAAAAGTGTGCAAAGCTGAGGGAGTTTATGTTAGAAGTGATTCAATGCAAATACATGAGAAAATGTTTTTAAAAATTCCATTGTGTGTTGATTAAAATTCACATTCTGGGTGTAAGTGGGACGCCTTTTGGTTTCTTTTTCTCTCGACACACACACAAACTGTCTCTTTCATGCATACAAACGCACACACATCTACCTCTAGGGGGCTTATAGGGGAGAGGGGAGGAAGAGAGAGAGAGAGAGAAAAAAAGGCAGGAAGTACCAATGAGAAGGCATACTTGATCACATGTACAAACATCGAAACACAATTTAACATTCTGCCTGACACACCCCCCTAATGCACACAGGAGCTTCTGCAGGCAACGAGGCTGTGCACGTATAATTTCACAGCCACCATCGCACCACACAGGGTTAATGTGATTTCCCACATCAGTGCGAGCTCGCAAAGTGGATCACGCTGTATTTTAGTCTGACTACAGCCCCGCATGCACGCACATGAAGCCTCGTGTTCAACTAGGCGTGTGTCTGGACTCAGTTTTAATGGCAAAAGCATGATCAAAATTTGAGATTTTTTCCTTTTACAAACTGGCACTAAAGACAGATTACAATGCCAGCAGAAGGAGATGTAGTGAGTTAAAGAGGGAGAGTTTTAGTTGCATTTATAAGACAGAGGATCTTCCATCCCAGAGACCAGACACAGGGCCAGTTGTGCAGAAACACAGATTTAATGTGGCTTCCTCTCCCCGCCTGACTTAATTTTTCTGCTCTGGCTGCAGGAAAGAAGCGGGACAGACTCTTGTGGATGTGGGAGGAGGATTTGCAAGCACATGTGCCATCTGCTGGACGAATATTACACCCAGCAGAGGAGGACTCACTCTTGGACAAAGTCACACTACTAGTTCTGATGTAGAGGCTTCCATTCACCTCATCTTTGTTAAAAAAAAAATCTTCTGTGAACATCATAATGCTTTACATTCACAGGATGACACATCTTTTCTTTTTATCTCAAATGTTGCACAAAACCCATTTTTTGCTGAACAGGAAGCTCTACAAATGTTATGCTGCATCTGCAACGCTGCAGATTTTCAAATTCTAGTATATTTCGCTGCACACGAAAGAAAAAAAAAACACAATTTCCTGCATATTTTTATCACACATGTAAATGTGCAAGAAATACGACACATACGAGCAAAGTCCTCTGCATAATTTTTTACGAAATTCACCAGATCATTGAAAAAAATACAAAAAAAACACCTTTTTAGAGCCTTAATTAATGCAACAATAATCTAAAATAAGCAGCAAGAATATATATTAAAAAGGATATTATAACGTGCCCGTTTTTCTTCTCCATTTGTTCGAAAATGAATAATTATCTGAAGAACAAGTTATTTGCCTTTTCTAGGTCAGTTGATCTTTAACTGATATTACTGTAGCCAACAGAAAAAAAACTGATGAAATAATGAAAATATTAAGATAAGTGTGGTCGTTTCATCACTTCAGAATGAACATGACTATAAAGGTGCCCCAGATGCTTAACGTGAAATTTGACCAGATTTTTCTCAAAAAAAATGGAGATCACAAACACCCATCATACTCAAAGCAAAACGGGGAAATCAGGGGCTTTGCTTTTCATACATTTAAGAAAATTTATTGGGAATTTTCTTTGTTGACATCTATTAAGAAACATCAAAAAATATCATTAAGACGACACATCATTGATAACTGAAGAAAAGTTCTGCATTCGCTCCGTTCAGTCTTCCTCTGTGATTTTTTGGAGGTGTGGCGCAACCTAAAAGCGTCTCCCACATTTAGTTCCTGTCTTTCCGCTGCTTTTGTAGAGAGACTGAGAAATCAGGCCAAGTAAGATGGATGTTGCCAAGACTCCCCTGGTACACCGGCGCTTAAGAAGCGACCACTTCAGCCCTTTTATTTTGGCTTTTCAATCTACAGCTCCATCATTTCGTCCTCCACTGTCTTTCCACTGGCTTCAACGTACCTCTCTTGCACCTTAAGAGTACTGAAGGGTTAAAAATTAAGGAAAACATGTCAGAACATACAAATTTCTACGAAGGATTCAGATTAGCTTTAGCATTATTAATCCTACATCATTACAAATACCAGGGTATTATTGAGTTTGTCAGCCATTTCCAGTAATGCTGAGGTTCGATCTTAAACCAGATGAGTCACCGTGAGTCACCGCAGTGATTAGGAAAGGATACGAGTTGAACTGGAAGTCTGCCCCCACAGCAGCTGACATCATGGCCTGCAGATTCCTTTCCTCCAGGTCTCCAAAGCAGTAGCCATTGGCCTTGTCCACTGCTTGTAAGACCCGAATCATGCTCTCTTTGTCCTGGGAATAGAAAAGGAGAAGCATTTTATCTGGGGTTTTTCCCACAGAAGTTCAGTGAAACTACCCACAAAAGAATGTGACTAAAAACAAGAAAACTATCGGTGAAACCCTAAAAATCTGCAGTTTGAAAGGATTGAAAAGTCAGTATCCAAATCTAATATATCTGATTCAGGCTGCTGCATGAAGGGACTTAAATTTTTTTTTAAAGCCTTCTTGAAAATGTGCTCGCGCTGCTTCCTCAGCCCCGTGTTTTGTGTTTCAAGGTTTGGCATTACAAGATAAGCAACGGATGCACACAAAGCCATAAAACCCCAAACTTCATCGACCTCCAGTAATCAGAGTATGTTGTTGAGCATTTTGTCTCTCACAAGGTTGAAACTGTTGTGTTTTTGCTTATTCAATGGGCTATGTTAAGTACCATAGGTAACCAAGGTAACAAGTGGTTGCCTAAATAAGAAAACACAGAACTGCATCAAGGCTGCACTTTCACCATGTTGGGAACAGGCGCACCAAGCTTCTCTTTTGCGTGAATTACTAGTCCCGTGTGCTGTGATGGTCTAGACTCTCGTCTCTGGACGCAAACGGGATCAAATCATTCTCCATAAAGAAGTAATGTCAGGGAACGAATACAGTGTGCAGGCAGTCCTTTTAGCAGTCCAATCCATCTGCAGAAAATCAATCCAATCTTCAATTTGAAATGCTGAAAGTGATTTACCTGTTCAAACAATGAAATATGAGGTGAAGTTCCAAGAAATTCAAAGTGAATGAATGTTAAATGTTCAGGGAACTTCTACTCAGTCATGCTGCTCTGTGGCTGCCTACATGTGCTCTCTGCTCATTGATTTAACCCCTAAAAACTCATCTGTGGGTATCAAGGTTACAAATTTAGTAGTTTCTTTCATGAAGAGGAAAGTTTCTTCCTGCCTTCAAATGGCTTAGATGTAATTCTACACTGTTGGTTCCTCGAGAATGCTCAAGCACACCAGCTCACCCACAACTCCACTCAGACACTGTAAAGCTACTCTATAGCTACATAATGGCAAGCTCTGAAATTGGAGTAATTCACATGTTTGAACTGGAAACTCATTCTGATTGGTTCTGTAGGTTAGTAACGTATGTAACCCTGGAAGTCCGAATATGTGTTCTGGTACACTGCAGCTTCAAGGTGGAAATGCTCAACCATGGCATCGACTGCTTATTTTGGTCATGATGTGTCTTTCGGCATACAAAAAAACTGTTGGTTAGAATATAACATGAGCTGTATGAAGTGTACTGATTCATTCTGTGAAACGTGTTGCAGAAATTGCTTCAACAACTGAAGTAATACCTGGACATTGAGAGGCACAAAGGTAACCAGGCTGTAATCTTGTATGACTTCAGCCAGCTTTTCATTTAGATGGCGGAATTTTTTGAAGAAGGGGTCGGCAGCCAGGTGATCAAGGAGATAGGTCAGGTCCATGACCTCTGTGTAGAAGTCGAGGTTGAAGGCTGCACGACAATGCAGAGAGGAAAAATGTTACCATTGTGAACAAAGTACAAAATTCAATATATCTGTGTAGGATTCTCAATCATCCTGGTCATGGTCATCCAAATTGATTCTGTGGAAGATAACCGGACTTGTATTTTCAGGTTCTTGAAGAGGTTTGACCTCTCATCCAGGAGGCCTCTTGAGTTCTAACTGGCTAATGTTTTAATAAAATGCCCAAACACAAGCTGAGCAATGATTTATCTGCCAAACAAAGCAGCAACGTGTGCACAGACATGTATATAAGGGAAACTAATTAATCGATACACAAGTGCACACAGGAGAGCCAGCTCCTCAGGACAAGACTCAGCCGTCTGCCTGCATCTGAAGGATAAGGGACACTCGTTTGAGGACAGCATGTTCATATTCTGCATAGAGAAGACAAAAGCTTTTAGAGAGGAGTGAAGGAAGCCATCTGTGTTAAACTGGAACGGCCATTTTCTAAACAGAGGGGTCTAAGACCCCACTTATTAGGTACTTATAGTTCAGCCTTGAGATCCCTGCCCAGACAGTTCCACCACCATTCATCTCGGGCACGTGAGTCGGTTTATTAATGGACTATTAGCCATCTGATTCAGGGGTGAGAGTAAATACTTAGGACTCCTCATCACTCAGTTAAAATTGAAGAAGCTTCTTGGATGAGAGGTGGAACATCTTCTAGAGCCAAAAAGAAACTTCTGGTGGTCTCTTATTGAAGCACTTAGAAAGATTAAATTCAATACCTTGTATATAAACCGATTTCTGATCAAATTGTAAAAATTACAGTTGCATAGTGAAGAAATGTGCTCTCTCTTCATTTGTAATGTTAATATAGCGTGAAGCCAACAGCCCTTAACTCACCCAGTTTGCCGTACTGCTCAATCAAGTCCATCTTGGAGAGGACGTTGACGTGGGGAAGCTCCACATGCAGCATGGTGGACAGAGAGGTGCACAACACAGAGATGAACTTGGCTGGATCAGCGCAGTAATGAGAGTCCACAAGGTGCACTGCTGTCAGCTAAAAGAGAGAGTGCGGGAGAATGATAATCATAAAATGTAACTGCAGGCCAAGTTGTCAGTAGTAGTTAGTTTCAACTACTAAATGACTCACCAATTAACTAGAGTAATTTTAAGCAAAAAAAAAAACAACAACAAAAAACATATATATAGATATTTAAATTCCCTGATCCCAGCTTCTTAAATGCAAACAATTTCTGTGTTTTTTCCTCCTCTATGACAATAAACTGTATATCTTTGGATTGTGGGCAAAGCTAGACATTTGAGGACACCACCTCGAGCTTTGTGAAACAGTGATCAGACATCGGTCACCATTATTGGACAAGAAAAAATAACCTACAGATAAATCAAGAATGAAAACACCTGTTAGTTGCAGCCCTAGTCGAAAGGTAAAACTGCTTCATCATATCAGTGATGTATTTATGGTACATGATGGCTGTTTGGGTAAAGTATGATGTGAAATAGGACCATTTCTACCCCAGATTGCTGAAGAAGCTCACCCTAAAATTCCACTTTGCCAGCTGTGAGAATATATTCTTCACTGAGCTCTGGTGTGTGTAGAGCTCCACCTGTCCAGGACAGTCAAACAGGAAGTAATAGTCACTGTACTGTTTCAGTTTGTTCTCCAACCAGTCCAGATTTGCCTCCACGTACTCCATGCAATAGAGAAGCCCACCATTGGGCCCGAGCTTCAAGCCGTCCATGACATCGTCCAGAGTGACCAGCTCTGAGATATCCACCGCACAGGAATACGGGATTCCCTCATTGGCAGGGTCCATATTCACCACAACCACCTTGCGTCCCAGGCGAGTCAGGAACTCTTGCATTCCTTGGCAGTAGGTGGTTTTCCCCGAGCCTGGGGGTCCGATAACCACCTGGCCAAAGCGGAGAGAATGTTTCACTCCTGCCTGGTTGGACATGGTTTCGGTGCCAAAGGCCAGAAGGGCCTCACATCAGATGAAACCTGGATACCAGAGGGGCCACATGTGATGATGTCCCGGGGAGGGTTTCAGCAGCCAGCTGGGGTGTCACCTGGCGGGGTAGCAGAGTCTCATTTTACTATAAACGAGCAAGAAGTTCACCTTCTCTGACATTATCAACCAAACTTAACTCTCACAGGCAAAAATAATAACTCTTGGACTACTTCGCGAAGTTGATGGATAAAACTATATCCATAAACTATAAAATTATAAGTTTAAGTGTCAGAAAAAAAACTTACTGAACCTAGCTGCAATTATTGTTATGACATGGTGTCATTCTATTATAATTTCCATAAATATTGACAGATAATTACCCTTTGCCGCCGTTATATTTGCGTTCGTGCAGCAGCCGCTAACAAGCTAAAGCTAATCGGAAGTACATCCGGGTCATGTAATGGAGCTACCAAAATAAAAGCTGCTCCTTTTCCTTCAACGTGTGGCGCATCACCTGGCTTCCTAAAACACCTCCGTGACAGTTTTTAAATGTGCTTTTCAAGCGTAGCTTATACATTACAGCATTATGTATTCAGTGCACTTATAGAAATGTAAATGCGTAATGGAGGAAAACGAGCTTTTGTGTGATAGTGAGTGAGCAATGTGAGACAATAGGCTTCTAAAAGGTACAACAAGCACAAATTGATTGCATGGTTTGAAAAGTGTTTTATTATCAAAACCAGTCAATAAGCAATAAGCACACTACAGGGTATTTTATAAATACATTTAAAAACATTTTTTTCAAAGTCATCTTCGTGGCCCAATGCTGCCACCTGGTTGCCACCCTCTGTACTTCATGCTGGTGTTTGGTTGGCGTCTCAGCAAGGTGTCACCTCCATCTATGTCTTTGGGTTTATCATACACTGTAGTTATGTGATAGTCTGGTCTGGCCTTTTTTACAGAATGTAATAACAATTTCTCTCCATGATACCTGCCGAAAAGAAAAACAATAGTGTTGAATCTTTGTATATCTGAACACAAAACAGCAAAATGTACACAAAACTTGGATTATGCTATTGCTCGACAATAGCTCCAGGCCAACCACAGCTCTCCAGTATCATTGAAGTTTGGATACCTTGAAAAATCCTCCCAGACAAAATAAAATCACTGCTCTGCAGAAAAGCCTATTGGAATCACACTTTAAACTGAGTGCAGCTTTTTGGCATTAACAAAAAAACTGAATTTGTCAAGTTTTCTTGAAGTTGTCTAACTTTCCTTACAGCTGCACTTGTGCAACCCTTATCCTTTTAAAGTTATGAGAGGTTTGTTTTATCTTTTACAAGATGTTCCACCTCTGATATAAAACAGTGACTATTTTGTAAGGTTTTCACATCCAGTAGTTTTGAAATCCATGTTGAATCAGTGATGATAATTGTACACCTGGTTTAAGTTCACGATATGTGTTTGCCTCATGTCTTTGTCCACTTGTCCTCTAATAAAAGCAAAGTACTGTGGAAACGTTAGTCTGTTTGCACAATAAAAGGCTGTAAATTCAGCAGTGTGCCCCAGCCCTCCTTTTTGTGCTCAGAAAAACAATAGGATCAGTGTCTGCTCACTCACAAACCAGGATATTTTGTACAATTACAATTATAAACGCAGCAAGAAAACAGTCTTCTTGTCTGACTTGGAGAAAAAGTTTAAAATCTAATTTCAGTCTTTGTAGTTAGAAACAGGTTTAGTTTAGCTAAATGCGCATGAAAAGGTTTTGAGTTCAGCTGGTGACAAATTCTAGACCACTACGTTGATCCACACCCTCATCAGGTGGCACTTTCAAGGACAATGGCCAGATAGTGTGACCAACAGAGAGACACTTCTTTGACAAGTGACTATAAAAGGCAACCTTATAATGCAGGTTAATTCAAATGACACATGTCTGACTCATTACTGGGCTGTGATTTCTTGTCTATGACCCACTCCTAGTCTGCAAGTCATTTCCAATATACTGCATACTTGGTTGTTTTATGAAGTTTATTGTGTTACAGATTTGCCATGTGTTGGAACAACAAACACTTGTGTTTAAATAAATAAAAATAATGTTATATGTTGCACTGCTATGTTTGTTCGATGTACATTTGATTTTGGTTCTATTTGCGTGTTCAAGCTCACCCAAAGCCTCTTTTGCAGCGGGGATGTTGGCCCTCATTCTCAAGGGCTTCAGGAATCCCAGCCTGACTGTTCCCTAGTCCTTCACCATCCTTCCAGCCTTGCTTCTCCATCACACGTCGGCCAACACCCTAATCCGGGAAAAATAACAAGTAATTTTATTTAACACATAATAATACAAAAGATTAGACCCAGTTATCCACTGAGGCTACTTCCTTACCTTAGTGTATCTCTCAAAGCTGCCTATAGACTGATTGTGTCCTGATGCATCTTCAAGACCATCCCTCAGCCTCTTTTCATACCGCATTCGGACGTAGTCACGAGCATCCATGTCGCCTCCGTCTGGGAGAGGAAGAACTGAGTTAAAAAAAAATCTGACTCTACAGGGACAACACAGACTGGTTGTTTTAGCCAATCAATGTAATAACAGATGTAAAACAAGCTTGAGTTACCTTTGTCATAGTAAACACTCATGTCAACGTCCCAGTCATCTGCCGTTTGTTCATCAAAATCTAAAAAAGGCAGAAAGAGACATAAATGTAACCAGTTTTTTTTTTACTTACTATGAAAAGTAGCAGTGACTGAAAAAACAAAAAACAACACATCATATAATTGAATTTCACATTTGACTATATAGATTCTGACAAATTATGGAAGAAGTTAGAAATATACGAACAACTGCCCTATTATTATTATTATCATTATTATAACAGTTGAATAAAGTGGATTTTTTTTCTGTGTTCTTTAACAATACAATTTTTTTTCAAAAGTCAGATCTCAACCAAAAGTGTTTCTTAAATACTAAATAACACCAGAAAAAAATACTGCTTTAGAGCTTCAGTTTGACCTCCAATAATGATGTCAGCTAATGTGGTTAGCGTCCATTAGATAATTTAATGTACAATTTTTGGAAACGTTATTATCGTCTATGATATACTACTATACATAAACTAGGAGTTCTTCTTCTGGAGAGTGTGGAAAACTGTACAATTAGTTGTGTTTTTGTTGCCTACCTCCTTCTTCCTCCTGCCAGTACTGAGCATCAGTGTAGAAAACCAGGCCTGAACCCCCTTTTTCCCACTTCAGCTCAATCTCTTCTTCAAACAGTCTCTCTTTGCTTCGCTCCTGACTCGTCACATCTTCATGCAAAGCCTCATGGCGTTCCCACTCCTCACAGCGGTCATCATCCTACAACCAAACAGATAAATAATTGGTAAACCACAGTGAAGTGATGGTGATAATTCAGCCGGCCTTATATCACAGCCTACACATGTTAACAACAACATCTGACACACTGGTAGGCAATGACTGAATTGATCCTCAACCTACATCATCTGCATTTGACTGTGCATCTTCCTCCTCCTGCTCTTCTTTCTCTGCCTCATCAGTATCTGTTGTTTCTGTGTGATCAGCTAGCCTTCTTGATCCTGAGGTTGAAGCAGGTAAAGACCCTGGTCCTGATATTTCATGTCCAGCAGCAGTTAACACAGTTTCTTCTGTGGCTGGAAGTGTGCAAGTGTTGTAGTACTGGAAAGGTACATTCCCGTAGCGGCGGTTTGAGCTGGTCTTGGGGAACGTGAGGCCCAACTTGCGAATGAGGCGCGGAGGCAGACGGCAGGCCTGGATGAGCTGGAGGAACACTTTCACAGGTGTTCCCACATTCCCATTCTGCATCAAAGCAGGTGGATTCAGCTCAGATAAGCTTTTGAGATCAGCCTCTGTGAAACACTCTGTTAAGGAAACCCGGTGTCGCTGCTCAGACTTTGTTTTATAGGGGAATGACCCATCACCTGAAAAGATAAGACAGAAACTAATGATGTACAAACAGTGACAACACGTCATGTCACAATTAAACAAGATAAATAATATAGATAAATAGCCAGCAATTAACGGAAACACCTACCTACTGGCTGGGGGCTGAAAGATTTACGGAAAATTTCTGATTGGAATTTTTTGAACAGATATTGTTATTGGATTTTTGATGTAATTTTTAAAAGTCCTTCATCAGTTTGACAATTACTGTGTTTGTGTGGATTTGTGATGTGATGTGATGTGATGTGATGTGATGTGATATGCTGGAGCAATACCACATGAGACACTATTAAAAGCAGAACTGTCACACAATAAGGACAGCATGAATTTTTAAAACCATTGACATGACAGCTTTTCTCTGGATCACACATGTGGCCTGACACGTACAATAAATAGCAGCCTTTGCATTTGTTGATTGCATTATTTCAAAGTGCAATTTCGAAATCGATCAGTTGTTCAGCCCTAATACTGACCCAGTATAACACCAGTTTGTATCTAATGCTTTACATGATGTTTTCAAAGTCGAACTGTACCTAATGTCAACTTTCATCGTCCATCAATCTGTTGATTATATTCTCAATTAATCAACTGGTTGCTTGATATATAAAATATTAGAAAATGATGAAATGTGTCAGTTTGTGTTTTCTAAAACTAAGGTAATAACAGCTCTATTGCAAATGTGTTCCTATTACCAGAAGCTGCACAACTTGAACTAAACTTCTGGTTCACATCAAACATGCTCGTTGTCATATATTTACAGCTTCAGTTTAAACACTCGTTTCCTTTCTTTAACCTGCCTCATATGTAGTTTGCTTGTATACTTTGAGAGAAAAGAAAAACACATATTTCCGGTAGGCTAATTTCTATATTACAAGGCAGGATAAGAGTTTCCACACTCCCCTTGACCTGTACATTTAACTTTAATATACCCTTTAATACACCACATATATAACGGATCACTAACCTTTGCTGATTGAAACTTTTATTCTCTTGATAACACACCGTCTGGACAGCCAGTTTCCCTTGGAGTTAATCCAGTGGTTCCCCGCATACATCTTCACGAACCTGTCCGCATCTTTAGCTCGAACTGAGACGATACAACAGCAGGACTTTACTGCCTGTTTCGACGAGGAGATGATTTCTGTTAGCTCGTTGGTGTCGCTCGATGTGGACGGTTTGTCCTCGTCGCCTGGTTCTCCACACTCGGTGGTTTCGGTCCCCTCGGACTCTCTGAGGACCTCCGGCCGGTGGCGGTAGTGAAAACAGTGAAAGCCGCCGCTTTCTATGAACTGACTAAAGTAGTTTCTCAGGTCCGCCGAGCGAAAAGCTACAGGAATGTTGCTAATAGCTAAATAGAGCGGAGCTTCAGCTTCACCGTCCGCCATGTTTGTTTATGTGAGTTGCTTACGTCATCAGACCGGCGACTAGAAAAGACGTCACACACACGCTTCCGGTATGAAATCTACAATATT